ATAATAATACTTTTTCATCATCAAAGCTACGGAAAAAGAAATCTTATGCTTAATTTAATCTTATGCTTATAGATTTATTTCTCGTAAATTAAAATTTGCAATTTTACCATAGCAAATATTGCTTGGAAACTGCGGGCATGCTAAGTGGAGTCTGCTCTTTATGGTCGTCCAACCGCAAGATAATTTTTTATAGCACGCTTGAGAGCGAGAAATTTAATTGCCCAAGTTTGCTGCTTTACAACTTTGTATCTTGTACGTTTCAAGTATTGCATCAAAATGTTTCGTCGTGCTCAAAACGATTGCAGTCGCGATAAGTTCTACATGAGTTTTTTCATAGAGCAGTGAAGTAGTTAAAATTTTTGAATCAGTATAGAAATTCTGCTGATGTACTTTTATAATTTTTGTTAATATAAAATATTCTTATTAATATCATTTTTTGTTTTTACTAATATTAGATAATTTTTACTGTTGAATAAATATAATTTATTCAACAGTAAAAATTTATATTTAAATAATTTATTATATTTAAATAATACAAGGAAAGAATTTTATTGAAATGTCTCAACATTTAGCGAGATACGGATTTCAAAATAATTTTGTTAGACCATTAAAATAATTATATAGAAAAAGCACGATGAGCAATGCTGCAAAAAGTTTTGACATTCAAGCAATTAACTAGTTTGAACGTTCTACTAATTATTTTAATAGTTCAACAAAATTATTTTTAAATCTATATATAGAACTAAATTTTAAATACTTCAAAAAACTGTTCTTTTTGCATTATAAATTTATAACAGGGCTTTTTTGTGACAAATTTAAGTAAAAACTTTCTTTTTCACAGCAAATGAGTTTATTAACAATTTTATTGAGGCACTCATTACAATAAACGATGTAATTTATTTCTGAAAGTCCGTAGTGATCAAGAGATTAAATTGGTGTGATGACAGACGGGTTTAATTACATTAACCTTAATTTAATCGTCCCAAGTCCATCGTGTTTCATAATTATGTACCTGGTAATGACCTTAAATTATAGGACAACAAATCAGACTGTTTAAGCATATGCAATTTACCAATATTTACACATATCGATCCGCGTACCTAAGGCCATTTATATCGCTTTCATGCACATTGATGCAACTTCCGAAAAAGGAAATTGCATTCACCGAATGACAACGTGAAAAGTTTAATTCTTCGCTTGGTGCTTTCATTAAGTCCTTAAATAATTTACATTCACGCGCTCGCAGGTCGTTAGGATAATTTATACGGTTTTTATGCCGTAACGGTCACCGTAGCAAATATTTCATCCATGTTGATGTTTCTCAACGTTCCTCAAAAACATAAAAACTATATAGTTCTAATGTGAATTTTATAACAATGGAAAACATATGTTACAAGTTTTATTATAATTTTTACTTTTTATTAGCGTTAATTCATTTGATTATATTTCAACTACAAGATTCAAATTAATATTCAGTTAAATTTTTTAAATATTTTTATCAGAGAAATTTTGCCAGAAACGTATACATTAAATAATTCTTTTTCTTCCTGTTGTAATACACACGAGTTAGTTTAACATTGCGAAATTATGATACCGTCGAGCGAGGAATTTACGTCTAGTTGCACGTGAAAAAATTCGCCGTGGCAATTATCGTCGAGGTTTTATTTCCGTTAACAAAGTTTTTATCGTCGTTCACGATCGCGTCTACAGTAGGAAATGTTTTTAATGTATTCACGCGTGACTCTTCATGTTCATCTCTACGCGCAGCAGGAATACAGAGAGTGATTTATAAAAGGGAGGATACAACGTGTGTGCGATAAACTTGATTCTTTTCGGTAAAATCTGCATGGAAAAAAAACTCGAGCAGTTAATCACGCCAAAGTTAATTAGCGCGTGATTAATTAAACGTATGTCAAGGTATCAAATCGACCGATCTCCCAGGAGTTCGCTCTCTGACTCCAGTTCGGAACTTCGAATTAATTAATCCTTTCGTCGATCTAACGGACAAATTAGGCAAATCATCTTAGTAGACGAGTACTTATGCATGTATGCATATGCAGCTGCATCGTTAACTCTTTAATTTATTATCAGATACATTCGCGGAGTCGGTAGACCGTCGGATTCATGCTTTATATAAAGTTGATATGTACATAGAGTTGCCGAATGTACCTTTTCATTCAATCTCAGCTTTTCTTTTTTAATTAAGACGAGGGTGACTTGATCGACTCGCAAACATGGAGATATGCATGTGCATTTTCCAGCACATGAAAATTGCAGATGCACGTTTATCGATAGTAGAATCTTGCGACACAGATTCAATAGTAAACATAATAATATATTTATACAAATTTATCTACTATTGCAATATTCTCGACTGATAGTAACATTCTTTATTCATGCTGCAGGCAGTCGATAAATGATCTTTCTTGCGTACATTCTGAAAAATAATATCCATTGACATTGCAATTTTTAACTCTGTTATTTATTACTTTATTTCATGACAATATTAATTAAATAAATGTCTATAATATTATATATATTTATATTATTTATATTATAATTCTTTAAAGCTTATCATTAGAACTTCTCAACTGCTTGATCCACTGAGTTATACCTGGATCGGAATACGATAGATGTCATTAGAAGTATCTCGAAACTATTTTAATTATAGTAAATAAATGTCTTTTCAAAATTTTAGTTTTAATTTTTATTAACAAAATATTTTCTACATATATCAAGAAAATGTATAAAATTAAAAAAATATATAAAAAAGATCTATTAGCAATAAAAAAAGCAATATAATTTAAATTATTACGAAATAATTATTTCCCTTAAATATTTCTCTTAAATATTATTTGAAAAGCGTATATTCAAATGAAATTAATTTAACAACTCTTATATTTTGACAAATTGAAAAATATTATGTATATGCATATAATGTTATGTAATATACTCAAATATTGTGTATATAAAGATTGTTTATATATACATTGTTTTATAGATTATCTAATAGATTATTACAGATTATATACTATATACTAGATTATTATAGATTATATCAGCCACGGTATTTAACTAGCATGTGTTATATATTTCTATAATTTCGACCGCGTATTTATTGCTCAGCATATTAACTGCTTTACTACGATAATATAACCATTTTGCATGGAATTGCATTTTTGCAAATACACATAACTGTGTATTTGCGCATAAAAGTCAATTGCAATTCCATCTATTAGTGAGGCATTATTATCTCTAGAAATCTCAATTAACTATTTTATAAACATCATTAAATTTACTGTTTATT